AGTCCTGTCTAGGCTAGATATTTTCAGCACACTATTTACATCCCCTTTATTTATTCCTGTCTTCCATTTATACACCTCAATCATATCACCCCTAATTCTACGTCTTTCTAGAGAGTGCAGATTCAGAGCCCTTAGTCTATCCTCATAGGGAAGGTTTCTGATACATGGGATCAACTTTGTCATCCTCCTTTGTACATTTTCCAGAGAATTTATATCCATTCTGTAATACGGTGACCAAAACTGTGCAGCATAATCTATATGAGGCCTAACCAAGGATGTATAGAGTTGAAGAACAACCTGAGGACTCCTATTATTTATGCTTCTTGATATGAAGCCAAGGATTCTATTAGCTTTATTGCGAACGCTTATGCACTGTTGTCTTGGTTTCAGATTACTGCTAACCAGAACTCCTAAATCTTTTTCGCAATCCGTAATACTAAGATCTACATTATTTAGTTTATATGTGGCATGGTTATTGTCCTGTCCAACATTTAGAACCCTGCATTTGTCTACATTAAACTGCATCTGCCACTTCTCCGACCACTGCATCAGTCTATTCAAATCTTCCTGGAGTGCTCGAATGTCCTCGTCAGAATGAATTCGACGGCCTATTTTGGTGTCATCGGCAAACTTGCCGATGTCGCTCTTTATGCCCTCATCTATGTCGTTTATGTAGATTGTGAACAGCAGGGGGCCCAACACTGACCCCTGTGGAACACCGCTCGTGACGCTTCCCCACTCTGATTTCTCCCCATTTATGCAAACTCTCTGCTGCCTATTTGTCAACCATGCCTCTATCCAGGAAAAATTTCTCCTCCTATTCCATGTGCTTTAATTTTCCTCAATAGTCTCTGATGTGGGACCCTGTCAAAAGCTTTACTGAAGTCCATATACACAATATCATATTCATTACCATGATCTACCTCCTCAAATACCTTAGTGAAAAAAGTTAATAAATTCGTAAGGCAGGAACGCCCCTTTGTAAAACCATGCTGAGATTCGTTGATTAATTTATGCTTTTCAAGGTGGCTACGAACTGCCTCGGCAATTATTGATTCCATAAATTTTCCCACTATGGAGGTTAGGCTTATTGGTCTATAGTTCGAAGCTAAGGACCTGTCACCTGTTTTGAAAATAGGTATCACATTTGCCATTTTCCACTTATCTGGCACCATGCCAGTTTGTAGTGATATGTTGAAAAGATTAGCCAAAGGTGTGCTAAGCTCCTCTTTACATTCCTTTAGAACCCTTGCATACAGTTCATCAGGGCCTGGGGATTTGTTAGGTTTTAATTTATCTATTTGCCTAAGGACCATGTCACTTGTGACCCTAATCGTGCACAGTTTATTATCGTCCTGTTCTACATAATTTATCATTACTGGAATATTGCTGGTATCCTCCTGTGTAAAAACTGAGAGGAAGTATGTGTTAAAAATTCTACACATTTCCTTATCACTGTCAGTGAGCTGACCCGAGGAACTTTTGAGTGGGCCTATCCTGTCCCTGGTCTTACTTCTGTATACCTGAAATAATCCTTTTGGGTTAGTCTTCGATTGTCTTGCAACTTTAACCTCATAATCTCTTTTTGCTTTTCTAATTCCCTTTTTTATTTCTCTCTTTAACTGAATATATCGATTTCTTAATTGCCCCTCTCCTCTTTTGATTTGCCTATATATGCCTCTCTTTTGACCAATCAGATATTTTAATCTATTGTTCATCCATTTAGGATCATTTTTGTTTGATCTGATTTCCCTATTTGGAACATAATTTGACTGAGCAGCTAGAACTATGCCCTGGAAAGCATCATATCGGCAACCATCACCACCTACCTGACCCTTAGTCAGGTCATTCCAGTTCAGCCCACCTAAGTAGTTTTTCAGTCCTATGAAATCAGCCAAGCGAAAGTCAGGGACGGAGACTTGATTGCCATTATTAGGGGAATTCCATGATATATTAAAACTGAGTGATTTGTGATCACTTTCCCCAAGCTCATCATTAACCTCAAGATTATTAATTAGTGTTTCCCTACTGGCAAGAACCAAGTCAAGGAGGTTATTTCCCCTAGTTGGCTCTGTCACAAACTGTTTTAAAAAACAATCCTGGATCGTATCAAGAAAGTCACCTGACTCTAAATTTCCTGTCAAATTGCTCCAGTCAATCTGTCTATAGTTGAAATCTCCCATTAGCACAACATTTTCGTATGTAGATGCCTTACGAATTTCGTCCCATAGAAGTTTACTGCACTCCCTATCAAGATTTGAGGCCCTGTAAATCACACCCAAAATTAGTTTTTCTCGGCCCTCGAGAAGCTGTAACCAAACAGATTCAGTGGCTGACGCTTCTAATTTAATATCTTGTCTAACACAACAATTTAAATTGTCTCTGACATACATCGCTACTCCACCACCTTTCCTGTTGACCCTGTCAGTGTGGAATAATTTATAGCCTTGTATGTGACATTCAGAGGGCATCTCTCTATCTTTCAGATTGAGCCAGGTCTCTGTTATAGCAATAATATCTATGTTTCCTGCACTTGCAATTAATCTTAGCTCATCTATCTTATTTCTTACACTCCTGCTATTAGTATAGTAAACCTTAAGGGAGCTAGTCCCTTGCTGCCCTCTGCTGTCCCCCTTTGTTTGCTGACCTGTTCTATTGTCTTTATTTATAACTTCATGCTGAATACCTTTTATACATTTACTGTTTCCAACCCTAGTGTTGCAACCTGCTTGTTTCCCACACACACCCATACCTCTATCTTCCATCAGTTTAAAATCATAGGCATTTCACCAATGGCCTTCTCAATCGAGTCTGCAAGTGCTACCACGCCTGCCCCAGAGAGATGTACCCCATCCCTTGCATACATATCATGTTTGCCATAAAAGTTGTTCCAGTTGTCAATGAATGGGATTGCAAGTTCCTTGCAGTATCTGTCTAGCCAGCAATTTACACCAATTGCCCTAGACAACCATTCATTTCCTACTCCCCTTCTAGGCAAGATGCTACATATGATTGGGATCCCTCCCTTAGACTTAATGAAAACTATAGCTGACCTGTACTTATCTAGGAGCTCTTCTCTCCTACCCTTCCCAATATCATTTCCACCAGCACTGAGACAGATAATGGGCTTGTTCCCATTACCTGACATGATATTATCCAGCCTGTTGACAATGTCCCCAACACCAGCTCCAGGGAAGCACACTCTATCTCTCATCTTCTTATTCCTATTACAAAAAGCACGGTCAATATATCTTACCTGAGAGTCACCAACCACAAGAATGCGCTTACCTTCATTAGCAGGGGCAGTAGTACCCTTACCTTCACTGGCCACTGAAGTACATTCATCCTGGAGAACAGAGAAGCGATTTCCTACCTTCAGATCTTCACTCTTAACTTTCCTTACTCTGATGCGCCTCCCATTACTGTGAACAACTCGCCACTTGTAGCAGGTGCTGGGCTGCACCTCACTGCTGGTAGCCGTTGCTACCTCCCCAACTACAGCCTCCTCACAGCGAGAGACAGACTGCACCTCACTGCTAGAAGTCTCATTCCCCACAACTCCAGCCACCTCACACTCTCTCCCAGACCCATTGAGGTGGACCTTCAGCCTCCTAATCTCCTCCTGGAGAAGCAAGACCTCCTCCTTCAACTCTCCAACCTCAGTTTTTAAAACACTGCAGAAGCAAGCCATGCTTTGTAACCGTCCACACTAATCCCCAAAGCAGCTCAGGGTCTGTGACCTCACGTGACGACTGACCACTGACCACTCCACACTAGTGTCATAGATACACCACACTAGTTTCTTGGATACACCACACTAGTGTCTTGGATACACCACACTAGTGTCTTGGATACACCACACTAGTGTCTTGGATACACCACATAGTGTCTTGGATACACCACACTAGTGTCTTGGATACACCACACTAGTGTCTTGGATACACCACACTAGTGTCTTGGATACACCACACTAGTGTCTTGGATACACCACACTAGTGTCTTGGATACACCACACTAGTGTCTTAGATACACCACACTAGTGTCTTGGATACACTACACTAGTGTCTTGGATACACCACATTAGTGTCTTGGATACACTACACTAGTGTCTTGGATACACCACACTAGTGTCTTGGATACACCACACTAGTGTCTTAGATACACCACACTAGTGTCTTAGATACACCACACTAGTGTCTTGGATACACCACACTAGTGTCTTGGATACACCACACTAGTGTATATAAGGTTTCCCATAACTGTTTACATTGTATGGTAATCATTCACATAAGCTGATTTATATTTCACTGTACTTGTTTGAAGGAACTTTCAAGAGTTTCTTATCTGATGACTTTTGCAGTCTGATCAAGTTTTCTTGTAGCCTGTAACTGTCGACAATGGTTTCTGATAGGTATCGTGATCTTATAAAAACATAGGAAAGAAGGAACACTGCAACAGGCCTACTGACCCATGCGACGCAGGTCCATGCCACCCCTAGGCCTAGAATAATGACCACCTAGTCAGGTCACTTCCACGTAAGGAAGGAGCACGGCAACAGACCTGGTAGCCCAAGCTAGTCAAGTTCAACTGACACCCACCCACACCCACTCATGTATTTATCCAACCTATTTTTAAAACTACACAACGTTTTAGCCTCTATAACTGTACTCGGGAGTTTGTTCCACTCATCCACAACTCTATTACCAAACCAGTGCTTTCCTATGTCCTTCCTGAATCTGAACTTTTCCAACTGGAAACTATTGCTGCGAGTCCTGTCTTGGCTGGATTATATCGTCAAAAAAGAGTAATATTGTTACCCCCAGTAGTACATGAGGTTTCATTTCTATATATTAAAAAAAAATCCCTATTACTGATCACTGGGGAACACAACTTATTACTCTCACCCGTCCCGATGTTGTGTGTCTTTCCCTCAGATAATGTCTGGTATCAAGAATCATATTTAATCTTCATTTAAGTATATATTAAAAAACGCACATCACCTGATGTTTGTTGTGTCGTCGTTGATAATAACCAACATAGAGTTGAGGTTGGACAAGGTTGTGTGGAGATCCTGCAGCTCCATGAGGCGAGAGTGAGTGAGGATGAGGAGCCTCGTCGACCACACCATGAGGCGCCCCTTGGCGGACCACTTGACGAAGGCGGCGAGGAAGGTTGCCTCGTCACTTATCACCACAATTGTTGTGTATGATGACAACTTCCGCAGCTGTTCACATAGAAATTGTGGTCAATAATCTCCATCAGCTTCTAGAGGTAGGAGGTTCAACTATATCAATAACAATGGGCACAGCTATAGCATCAGAGATAATGTCTTAACCTGTATATCATGACAATGAACGACCGACAAAACAGAAATGTTCTCCCTCTGTACAACAACGATTTAAGCATAATTTTGTACCATTCAATCAGTGGACAAACAGCTTACCAGCTTAGCATTATCAATCAGCAGAGAGAGGTGCTTATCACTCTGGGTGAAATCTGAGGCATTAGTTACTGCTTCAAATAATACAGCTCCTCCAGGAAATCGTAGATGATCTATTATCTGAAAACAAAAATAGTTTGCTATTGGTAACGTGGCCTCAAATATCCTAAATTTCTTCCTCATGGCGCATCTTATGAAAACAATGTCATCCCACTAAAGGTTGAAACATGCAGTATTTTACAGTAATAAAGTTGGTAGAATTACCGACAATATGTAAAGTAAAAGGACACAAGTGCAACTAATGTGACATTTATTGTGGCAACGTTTCACTCTCCAGGAGCTTTATCAAGCCATTACGGCTTGATAAAGCTCCTGGAGAGCGAAACGTTGCCACAATAAATGTCACATTAGTTGCACTTGTGTCCTTTTACTTTACAGTATTTTACAGGACATAATATGATTTGTTCCTCCCATTACAATGGAAATAAATAGACTTGAAGACAAATGTATTGATTTAGAACATAAATATTTAATGATTAAAATCATTCTTTACGTCCTCTTTAATTACTATACACTTATGGAAAATTAATACTGGGTTGTCTACTTAGGGGTTCAGTCTATTAATGACTACACATCATTTGGCTTGACCGTCCGGTAGACCTTTCAGTGAACCACCTGGTGGCATAGTGGATAGATCATTCGTGGTTGTCTGGTGGAGGAAGTGGTATCTAAAGCCATCTTCGGTTCCATGCTAGTGACTTCTGGCTTCCAACTTCTGGCATTCTTGCCGGTTCAGTCTCGTTCATTAATTACTAGACGCACGCTGCTGGAGCCGCTGTTACTTCCAGTCTACATGGGCAGTTTTGCCGAACTTTATTCTGTTAGTTCAGAGCAAGCTATCCTAGGCTTTTGCGCTGGGTAGGGTAAGAGCAATCCCCGAAAAACAGTCGGCACTGTTTATTTCATTGTGAGGAGTGTGGAGACTAGTGGCAGAGTTGTGGCTACGTATTAGTAGTCATCCGGTAGCCTCCCATTTCTATCTTTTTGTCCTACTCTGATATTTTCTGTTCTGCTCTGCCGTTCTTTTCCATACCACGAAGAAACTGTTTATTAAACCACCGCCGTTACCTGGTCCCACCAGCGGAAGCGACTCCTGATGAACCTCTTGCATGGACATGGCTCATTCGAGGTGCTGAGCTCTTATTTTACCCTTCCTTGGCAATTGAATCTGAATGACTCCCATTACCCCAGATGCTGCATAATCTCTACTGGTTTAGCATTTTCTCCTAATTGAAGTCAAACTAACTTCAAGACATAAGTTTTATTGGCTGATGCATCTTATGAAATGGTTGAGGCTTATTTTTTTTTCTTGGTTTAGTCTGTGAAGGTGCAAATTTTGTTGAACTCTGAGCCAAACGCAGATTCATACACGTTTTCGCTGGTGCTGGACCAGAGAAAACGTAATGTTTTCTCTTCGCCCGCCTACTATACCTCATATTTATGTGAAATTGTGAAATTTCTTGTACTGTGGGTGTATCATGTTTATATGATTTGTAACGTGTTACATAATTTTGAAGAACATATCATAGATGGATTAACGAAAATATCTATATTAACGTAAAATAAGACATCTAATGTGCCCAAGCGTGATTATTATTACTTACTGTTGGTATTATTACTATGGCAGCAAGATTACAGGAACACTCTTATTGATTTTAATGTGTACCCGCATGCCAGCACAGTGTGTAAATATATTTAGGTGCAGGTACACAAGTTTAATTATCAGAGTACATATAAAATATGCAATAACTTTAAAATATTTGAATTTTGGAAAGGTTTCAAGACACAATAGAGATGTGCTCATGAAGCATGTAAATAGATTGGGTGGGGCGTGCCGTATTAGAAAGACAGGGGGAGCCGTGTAGAGAGTTTTAATACAAATTTGAAATGTCCGTATTAGCGGAACACTGTAAAGTGGGGGGCCCCTTATATATATATATATATATATATTATATTATATTATATATATATATATATATATATTTATATATATTATATATATATATATATATATTATTTTTTTATATATATATATATATATTTTTATATATATATTGGGACACTTATGCAGCATAGGGGAAATTCTTTTTTCAGGAAAACGTTTCGCCACACAGTGGCTTCATCAGCCCAATACAAAGAGGAAGGCGTAAGGGAGGGAGGAGTATGAGGTAATCAGTCCCTCAGCCTGGGTGGATGTGTTCAGTCCATCAATCTTGATGGACTGAACAATCCCCTCCAGGCTGAGGGACTGATTACCTCATACTCCTCCTCTCCTTACGCCTTCCTCTTTGTATTGGATGATGAAGCCACTGTGTGGCGAAACGTTTCTGAATAAAGATCCATATACTGCATAAGTGTCTCAATCTTCAACTTGTCGGTTTTTCAAACCATTCATCACACACACACACACACACCCCACATATATATATATACTTTATATATTAATATATATATATATATAATATTATATAAAATTTTATATATATATAAAATATATATATATATTATATATATATATTTTCAACAAGTGGGCCCTTTCCCCACGAGGCAGGGTGACCCAAAAAAAAAAGAAAATACTTTCATCATTCAACACTTTCACCACACTCACAAATTATCACTGTTTTTGCAAAAGGTACTCAGAATACAACAGTTTAGAAGCTTTTAGTATAGGGATACACAACATATCCCCCCAAAAACTGCCAATATCCCAAACCCTCCTTTAAAGTGCAGGCATTGTACTTCCCATTTCCAGGACTCAGTCCGACTATATGAAAAAAACCGGTTTCCCTGAATCCCTTCACTAATTTTTCCCCTGCTCACGCTCCAACAGATCGTCAGGTCCCAAGTCCCATTGTCTCATTCATCCTATCTAACACGCTCACGCACGCTTGCTGGAAGTCCAAGCCCCTGCCACAAAACCTCCTTTACCCCCTCTCTCCAACCCTTTCGGGACGACTCTTACCCGCCTTCCTTCCCTATAGATTTATATGTTTTCCCATGTCATTCTACTTTGATCCATTTCTCTTAAATGCCCAAAACCCCCTCAACAACCCCTTTCTGCCCTCTGACTATGCTTTTATTAACTCCACACCTTTTCCTAATTTCACACTCCAAATTTTTCTGCATAATATTTACACCACACATTGCCCTTAGACAGGAATCTCCACTGCTCCAACCGTCTCCTCGCTGCTGCATTTACCCCCCAAGCTTCACATCCATATAAAAAGTGTTGGTATACTATACTTTCATTCATTCCCTTCTTTGCTCCATAGATAACGTTTTTTGATCCACATATACCTCAACGCCCCATCCCCTTTTTTACTTCATCAATTCTATGATTAACCTCATCCTTCATAAATCCATCCGCCGACACGTCAACCCCCAAGTATCTGAAAACATTCACTTTCCTTTACTCCTCCTCCCCAATTTGATATCCAATTTTTCTTTATCTAAATCATTTGATACCCTCATCACCTTACTCTTTTCTATCTTCACTTTCAACTTCTACCTTTACACACATTCCCAAACTCATCCACTAACTATATATGAGAGAGAGAGAGAGAGAGAGAGAGAGAGAGAGAGAGAGAGAGAGAGAGAGAGAGAGAGAGAGAGAGAGAGAGAGAGAGAGAGAGAGAGAGAGAGAGAGAGAGAGAGAGAGAGAGAGAGAGAGAGAGAGAAAGCTTCTACGTTCATTCACTAATGCCTTTTGCAATATGAGGTGACTTTACTATACACTTTTTTCTCTCTCGTTATGTTTTTCTCACATTTTAATCCTTTGACAATATTTCTACACTTATTAGCCTTTAGCTTTTATAAATGTATATTGAAAAAAAATAATAACTTTATGAAATATGTAAGGTTAGCCAAATTTTTTTTTGGTTTATCAATGTCACAGCACACTTTCATTTCCGCTGATTGATGGAAAGTTTATTTCATGGCGATGCATCAGTAAAAGGCATAATTGGTTATTCAATTTATGTTTCTACTTCATCTCATCTATAATTAATTGGGTCATTATTATAAATTAATTATTTACAACATAGGTGATATATTACTACTATTAATAACCCTTCATTATTGACTTCTTAATCCTGTACTTAAGATAATATTACAACCACCGCTTTGTACAAAGAGATTATATACATAACTTTTACTAGAAAATGTTTTCCATTCATGTAATGTAGATGCCTGAGACACTTGCCATGAAGATAGTGGAGGGTGAGGTACCGCCGTCCGTAATGAAAATTACAGAGTAGCTGCCATGTTGTGTTGAGGTCAACACAGCCTCCACCACCTGTGTGACCAGCCAAGCCTCCATCACCTGTGTTGAGAGACCAGTCTGCTGCAGGCGCATCATGGACCACTTCATATCACGTTTAACTGTTGGAAAGTGAAGTTTAAAATATTAGTTTTTGTGTAATGAACACACCAAGAACTGAATAAGTAGTAAGTTTTGCATCACTTTCCCTGTCAGTTGAGTAGCTGAGAACATTACCAAGCCTTTCTCTTCATTCAGCTTCACAAATAAGAGTCACTACAACCATCTTCCAAGATCTAGTCAAGACCTAAACTAGATGTCATGACAGCGGTAATATCGGCATTGGCGAAACATTAAGAAATTTTGATGTATATAATGGAGAGCATAAATGTTGTAAGTGACTGGTAACATACTAAGACAATCAAGTAAGTGGACTGTACTGAGATACTTAACTTATGACAGCTCAATGTCCTGCACCCGCCTCCAGAACATTCTATGTAGCCGTCGATGTAACCGCCCTTGGGCAGTGAGAAATTAAGTAATTGTAAGAACATAATTGCCCCAACGGAGCGTTATATCTACATTTCATGTTACCTCTGAAATGATGAATTCTTACTTTTCTGGGCTCAATGGCCCTCAGATGACCTGGAATTTTGGTCACTTCAGACAGGTTATGCCTTAGCTATCTGCTGCACAGGGGACCTAAGTACATAACTGACTAGACTTACCTGGGGTATATGTATCGAACCCTCAAGTATCACCCCGGTATTCGATGTCTTGATTGAAACAATAATGTCTCGGTGGCATTGTCTCTCTCTGAAGATTGTTCGTAACACTACACTATTCTTTAGTATTAGTTCTTTCGTAGTAATGTCACAACAAGAAGATAAGTATGTTTCACTGTAGTAGTTCTACCACGAATTGCTGAGATTGTCACTGAGGGACAGAAATGAACGAATCACTAGTGTCTTTGTCTGTTCTTCTAGTATGAAACACGAGTTGCCTGCACCAATTCTTAAAGCAATCTGACTGCCCCTGCAGCGGCTTCGCCCTGGGCGCCCCTCCTTACAAAGGATTTGATGAATTCAGCATTATTATTCTTCCTTGCTAAACACTGCAACAGTATGCAATACAAGATAGCAGATTTATTGACTTAAGACTTATCCAGTGTTTTACGATAGTCTCAACTTGGAAATAAAGTGATGCAAGGTTTTCTTGTAAATTTTCCTGCTACGGTAAGAGTCATGTTCCTCACTTCCTTATCACTCAGTTGCAATGAACACGGTGGTGCAAGAATAGGCTACATGTCCCCGCCCTGGTACACCCAGTTACTTCATCTGCTTCCAGTTACTTGAGTGAGCAATGCCATTTGCCCTTCTGAGAGGGTTAAGTCCCTCAGAAGCTGAAAGGGACTGAAGGGGGCTGATACCCCACCTTCTTGGAGAAATATTCTCCACAAATATGCTTTCACTGTTGACAACACAAAATTTCATAAGTACTTCAGTGTAATTCGCATAATCATCTTGTGAAGAGAAAGGCGGCAAAAATTATTTATAAAACAATAAATAAAGCTTGATAAAGCTCCTGGAGAGCGAAACGTTGCCACAATAAATGTCACATTAGTTGCACTTGTGTCCTTTTACTTTACATATTGTCGGTAATTCTACCAACTTTATTACATAAAACAATCTGAGCTTTGTAAGAGGTGTCTGGAAGCGTTTCTCGTGTCCGTCACAGACACAATCATTCAAAACTGTAGTAGCTTCAGCATCTCAGAGATATTAGCAAGAATCTAAATTTTTGCCCACCGTAACACTACTATCACTTAATTTTTTTTTAACACATCGGACGTCTACCCAGGTATGGTGACACAAAAAAGAGGACACTTTCATTGTCATTCATTCAATCACTGTCTTGCCAAAAGCATGCTAACATCACAGTCCAGATAGTCCTCCAAACTGCAACATTCCCCGCCTTATTATTATTGTTATTATATATATTATATATAATATATATATATTATATATAAAATATATATATATATATATATATATATATTTTGTGTGTGTGTGTGTGTGTGTGTGTGTGTGTGTGTGTGTGTGTGTGTGTGTGTGTGTGTGTGTGTGTGTGTGTGTGTGTGTGTGTGGGGTGTGTATTGTGTGGTGTGTGTGTGTGTGTGGTGTGTGTGTGTGTGTGTGTGTGTGTGTGTGTGTGTGTGTGTGTGTGTGTTGTGTGTGTGTGTGTGTGTGTGTGGTGTGTGTGTGTGTGTGTGTGTGTGTGTATGGGGAGAGAGAAAGAGAGCGATCGAAGCTATCAGGATTCGAAACCACGTCAGAGGAAGCTGACAAAGTTTCCTAAGTGATGCTCTTCTCCACTGCACCACAAATGCCACAGAAGTTGAGCAGCATGGTTTACAAACCACGTTTCTACCCAGCCCGGGCACGTCAGTGGGCCTCAAGCATGGCTTAAGCTATTTCATCCTTTTCCTGAATGCTCTGACCGCACAAGCGATTTTTATATCAATGCAACATGCAGAAACAAGCAGGTATATACAGAGAAAGATCGCAGGCTTTGAAACAAGGCTGCCCATCTTTTAGGCATCTGTGGCTGAGTGGTCTAGAGCGTCACTTGGAGAACCTTGCCAGCCTCTTAACGTTTTATTCTAAACCTAATAATTTCACTCTTTGTCATCAATTATTTCATCACCCTCTCTGTATGTTTATACACACTGTTCTGTCTTATTATGTACATTGAGTCTTGCAGGACCATACTTAATGACTCCTCGCGTCCGCAGCCTCACTCATCCGCAACTCCATTGCCAAATGAGTACTTTGCAATATTAATTTTAGACCTGAAATAGTCTCATTAAAATTAATGAAATTATTATGTGACGGGAGCCTATTATTACGTCTGGAGGCTGTGGGCTTTTTGTTGGTCAGTTATCTTAGATTTATCAAATTGACGGGGAAATGTATTCATTTGATTCAAATCGACATTCTCGTTTAGAGAAAGGGAAATTGAGGACATTACTCATGATAAAGGAATCCCTCATCTTCCTGTGATGTATGTTGTTGCAACCTGTCAATATTAAATATCACTTAAATTAATTTTATGGTTCTCTGGATTTATGAGCCAAATTGCATTATTATTATTTCTCCAGTGTGTGCATATTATATATGGTGGTAAAGTCGACTCTTAATATCGTTCGTTTTTCTTATGCAACACTTACCACAATCGGTGCATGAAATATTGCAATGAAAACAATCATCTTGGGAGCTTACACAAGACTTTTATTTTTTTTATAGATCTTATTAGTTGCAAACTGCTGGGGGTATTTTTCACGTCATTACGGGAGAGAATTTTGTTTGCAGATTTGTGTTAGTCTAAACATGGAAGAGTAATTAAGTTTCTAATTTCAGAGTCGTTCTATTTTTCAACCACAAAAAGTTACCTGTTCTTCGAATCGCGAATCACATACTTGTTACGACCTGAGAAATAAAGTCGAAGTGACACTCGTATTTGTGGAGAGGGAGAAGTGCTAAAACATTATTGTCAAAATGCGTTGGTTCTCTGCATAGCTTAAAAAAATCAGTGTGATTCTAACGCTCATGCGTACTAGTGTCCAAAAATGTCAGCTGCCTATTATCTCCAAGTTCAACATTACACCTCATATTTCTTGTCAGTGAATTAAGACGATCTAAGAACTTTTGTACAATAATATGCCTGAAGAACAGAGAATACATCATCAATGTATAGTTGCCAAGTGAGCTGCTAATGATAGAGGGAAGAAGTTTGCTCTCAGAATATTATATTAATTTGTATGGTAAAACGAGTAATAAAAGTAAACACTTGGTATTCCATATATTTGGTACTGAAAAGCCCTTTTACACGAAAAATATGTCAGGGGAGCATTTCTTTCAGTGAAAATCAGGACCGTTTCGTAGGGCACACGAAATTTGGGATTTCATTCAGAGAATTTACTCCTCAAACATTCAAATTCATCGTTAACAAGAAATCGAGTAAATAAGCTATCCTCATCAAATTTAAAAATTATTCTGGTTTTGAAGATTTTTTAATTAAAAATAAAACAAAGAAAGTAGCCCCGAGAAAAGCTCATAAAACACTGCCGCTAGCATAAATTATAAGGCTAGACAAAATATAACTGCATCTGCAGTCTTCGGAGAACTTCACTTACCGAGATACCTCATCGCGTCCAGTGAAAAAGTTGGAAAGATTCTCTCTAACACCAGATCAGAGGTAGCCAATCAATACATAGAACTCCTGGTTAACCAAACAAACAGTAATATTCCTAACTTAGATAAAATTTAGGTGAGAGTTCCTAACATAGCCTCTTCCATCAAAGATTTACTCTAAAAGATGCCTACACCGGCAAGCTCCGTAACTAGTGGAGGTTGTGGCCCGGTGGTCTGGTGGCTAAAGCTCCCGCTTCACACACGGAGGGCCCGGGTTCGATTCCCGGCGGGTGGAAATTCCGACACGTTTCCTTACACCTATTGTCCTGTTCACCTAGCAGCAAATAGGTACCTGGGTGTTAGTCGACTGGTGTGGGTCGCATCCTGGGGGACAAGATTAAGGACCCCAATGGAAATAAGTTAGACAGTCCTCGATGACGCACTGACTTTCTTGGGTTATCCTGGGTGGCTAACCCTCCGGGGTTAAAAATCCGAACGAAATCTTATCTTATCTTATCTTATCTTACGTCGGAAGAACTTCAATGGACTTAACACTAGGATCAAGGAATACAGATATGATTGCTAGATGAACCACACTTGCATCTATAGGGGGCTACAGAAGGTTAACTGGGTGCTGTACTGTAACGTAACAGATGCTACAGTTTGTCATTAAAAACATTGGATGATACAGTATTCTAAGTAAAGTGCTAAACACAGTTTAAATCAAACGTACGAAAATACTGAATATTCGTAATAATTAATAAGTTAATGATGCTTTTCAAATATCACTTTTGACTGAAAATATTTTTAAACTACCAATATGTGCTGGTAACTACACAACTTACATATACAAGTACATTGTATGACCTACCAACAGGTGCTGGTAACTACACAACTTACATATACAAGTACATTATATGACCTACAACAGTGCTGGTATCTACACAACTTACATATACAAGTACATTGTATGACCTACCAACAGGTGCTGGTATCTACACAACTTACATATACAAGTACATTGTATGACCTACCAACAGGTGCTGGTAACTACACAACTTACATATACAAGTACATTGTATGACCTACCAACAGGTGCTGGTATCTACACAACTTACATATACAAGTACATTGTATGACCTCCCAAATAGGTGCTGGTATCTACAAAAACTTACATATACAAGTACACTGTATGACCTACCAACAGGTGTGGTATCTACACAATTACATATACAAGTACATTGTTGACCTACCAACAGGTGCTGGTATCTACACAACTTACATATACAAGTACATTTGTATGACCTAACCAACAAGTGCTGGTATCTACACAACTTACATATACAAGTACATTGTATGACCTACCAACAGGTGCTGGTAACTACACAACTTACATATACAAGTACATTGTATGAACCTACCAACAAGTGCTGGTATCTACACAACTTACATATACAAGTACATTGTATGAACCTACCAACAGGTGCTGGTATCTACACAACTTCCATATACAATACATTGTATGACCTACCAACAGGTGCTGGTATCTACACAACTTACATATACAAGTACATTGTATAACCTACCAACAGGTGCTGGTATCTACACAACTTACATATACAAGTACATTGTATGACCTACCAACAAGTGCTGGTATCTACACAACTTACATATACAAGTACATTGTATGACCTACCAACAGGTGCTGGTATCTACACAACTTACATATACAAGTACATTGTATGACCTACCAACAGGTGCTGGTATCCACACAACTTACATGTACAAGTACATTGTATGACCTACCAACAGGTGCTGGAAATCTACACAACTTACATATACAAGTACATTGTATAAACCTACCAACAGGTGCTGTATTAAAAACAACTTACATATACAAGTACATTGTATGACCTACCAACAGGTGCTGGTATTAACACAACTTACATATACAAGTACATTGTATGACCTACCAACAGGTGCTGGTATTAACACAACTTACATATACAAGTACATTGTATGACCTGCCAACAGGTTCTGGTATTTACACAACTTACATATACAAGTACATTGTATGACCTACCAACAGGTGCTGGTATTAACACAACTTACATATACAAGTACATTGTATGACCTGCCAACAGGTTCTGGTATCTACACAACTTACATATACAAGTACATTGTATGACCTACCAACAGGTGCTGGTATTAACACAACTTACATATACAAGTACATTGTATGTCCTACCAACAGGTGCTGGTATCTACACAACTTACATATAGAAGTACATTGTATGACCTGCCAACAGGTTCTGGTATCTACACAACTTACATATACAAGTACATTGTATGACCTACCAACAGGTGCTGGTATTAATACAACTTACATATACAAGTACATTGTATGACCTACCAACAGGTGCTGGTATTAACACAACTTACATATACATGTACATTGTATGACCTACCAACAGGTGCTGGTATCTGCACAACTTACATATACAAGTACATTGTATGACCTACCAACAGGTGCTAGTATCTACACAACTTACATATACAAGTACATTGTATAACCTACCAACAGGTGCTGGTATCTACACAACTTACATATACAAGTACATTGTATGACCTGCCAACAGGTTCTTGTATCTACACAACTTACATATACAAGTACATTGTATGACCTACCAACAGGTGCTGGTATCTGAACATCTCCCCAACACACAACAGCAGACAATGGAAACACCATCCACCATATACTCGTCATCCTCTTTACTGAAACAATGCAACGAAAAGATACAGTAATCACTGAACACATTAAGAAATACGAAAATATTTTTTTAGCAGGAGAATGTGTGTACACACCTAATTGTGGTTGCAGGGGTCTATTTATTGTGTGTGAGTGTGTGCGCATGCATGCATGCGTGCGTGCGTGCGTGCGTGCGTGCGTGTGTGCGTGCGTGCATGTGTGTGTGCACTCACCTAGTTGTACTCACCTAGTTGTGGTTGCAGGGGTCGAGTCACAGCTCCTGGCCCCGCCTCTTCACTGGCCGCTACTAGGTCACTCTTCCCTCTCCATGAGCTTTATCATACCTCTTCTTAAAGCTATGTATGGATCCTGCCTCCACTACCCAGACTATTCCACTTCCTGACAACTCTGTGACTGAAGAAATACTAACATAACTGTGGTTCATCTGTGTCTTCAACTTCCTAATGTGTCCCCTTGTTGCTGTGTCCCATCTCTGGAACATCCTGTCGCTGTCCACCTTGTCGTGTGCGTGCGTGTGCGTGCGTGTGCGTGCGTGTGTGCGTGTGCGCGTGTACGGGATTGTGATTGCGGGTGTGCATTCGTTTCTTCATTCGAGCGTACTCACCATTTTGTGTGTGCCGTAGTCAAGTCATAACTCGTGCGCTCACCTTGCACCACAGTGGCTTGATGCTGGGGTCACAACTGAGAGCACCCGGGGTCAAACCATGGAGGAGTAGGAACTTATGACCGGGTCTCCTTGCCTTTGCTTCCTTTGTTACCTAGCATTTAATAAATACCCAAGCGGTAATCTATTGTTATGGGTCGCATCCTGGGGAGAGGATTTCATAATGATACTTATAAAATAGCCTTACTGGTCTGCTCTCACCTGTTCCTGGGTTGTTAACCCGCTGGCTTTACTAATCACAATAAGATGTCAATAATAGAGTAAATACAGTATATGACTTTATAGGGCCCCTGAGCGACATACTCCACAGTGACGGCGTCTACACTACTACTGTCCCCCCTCTCAGCTCTCCCTTGCCATACCAACTTAACTCTTGTTTATATCAATTATCCTACGGTAAAATTGGTTTCGTTATACGTCGTTTTGCTCGAAGTCGTAGTTTCCAAGAATCTATTGACGACGTTAGGTAAGGATTTCCTGTACAGCATATTGTATATAATATATAAGGAAAATGATAAATGTTATATGTTCATTATATATCCTCTTCTAAATAAGTACAGTACTGTATAAGAACATAAGAACATAAGAACGAAGGAACACTGCAGAAGGCCTACTGGCCCATGCGAGGCAGGTCCAAGTCTCCTACCGGCTTAAGCCAATGCACCCAACCTAGTCAGGTCAGGTCACATTGACTTAAGGGAGGAACACGGCAACCGACCTGGTAGCACAAGCTATCAGGTCCAACTCACACCCACCCACATCCACTCATGTATTTATCCAACCTATTTTTAAAGCTACACAACGTTCTGGCCTCTATAACTGTATTGTATATATGACACATGTATTTACAGGTGATGTAGAATGTATAACAGATGCAAGAACTAGAAGTGAAGGTATTAGGCTGATCACCTGATTCTTTGCTGCTCAAATGTTCTAATTTTGGCTCTTCAATATGAGTTATCTGCACATTAAAATATCATTAGGACAAAGGAGAAGTAAGGAGAGCTAAAAATATGAGTTACAGAGTAAGGCTGAAAAATGCTAAAAATGCCCTCATTGGCTGATAGTAGGAGAGGGGAGCCATGATGAGGACATGAAAGATCATAGATGAATACAGCAGAATAAATAATGATCTCTTAGCAATATCAGTAGGGAGAAAAAAAGCAACAATTGTGAAAAGAAAAAAAATGCTGAAAGATACGAGAAAACAAATAGTGATAGAATTCTGTAATAATACACGAGAGGATATGGTACTTGCTACAGTCACTAAACTTGTGAAAAATACTGAACGTTATCACAAACTGAACTCAGAAGTGACACCATGAGTATTACCCCATGAGTATTACACACAGACCATATGTAATTTTTACATGTAGGCTGTGTGTGTGGGGGTGTGTGTGTTTTGTGTGTGTGTGTGTGTGTGTGTGTGTGTGTGTGTGTGTGTGTGTATGTATGTATGTGTGTGTGTGTGTGTGTGTGTGTGTGTGTGTGTGTGTGCATATGTGTATGTGTATGTGTGTATGTGTGTGTGTGTGTGTGTGTGTGTGTGTGTGTGTGTGTGTGGTGTGTGTGTGTGTGTGT